TTCTGTCTGCTTCGGCTAAAATCTCCATTTTGTTCCAGTCAAGCTATCTCCTTCCTTATCCATGTGCGCTGAGATTAGTGATGGCTCCTAATGTTTCTAGCAGGCTTTTTTACTTTCTTGTATCTTGGTTGATAATTCCCTTCCTGCTTGTTTAACATTGCACTAGCGACCTCCTGCGCATTCTGTTCTCTTGAGACAGGTAGTCCACTACGTTTATTTGCAGATATTTGTGTCATTTGTACGTCATCTGTTTGACCATGCCGATCATTTCGGTCTCGCCCACGACGCCAATGCGGCAACTGAACACCTGCTCTATCTGCACTCAGCGTGTAGGACCTCGTTCCAAAGCCATCACCTGCTCGATCTGTCTTCACCGTGTTCACGCTCCTTGTGACAACTCGCTCCATGCAGCTGACATCGAATTCTGTCGCTCGCATCCACAGACGGTCCTGCGGTACATTTGCCCAGGTTGCATTCCCAGAATTGCGAACTACGTGCGGGATATTTCTTGCGACCTTTCCTCAACGACTTGCCCTATGGTTGGTTCTGTAATCTCGTCTCCCACTAACCCGCCCTCCACACCGCGTAACAAGCATTCGCAGACGCAGTCGCCCCGGTCACCACGATTCGCTGAGCCGCCTAGCAACAATGCTCGCTCAGAAGTGCGCTTGCTTAATCTGGAAGAACAGCTACAGAATCTATTGCGGAAAGTCGACGGTCTAACCAAACGACGACAACAACCTCCCAACCGTCCTGAATCACGTACCGTCTCACCGTTACCAACTGCTGGTCTGCCCAACACTTGCCGACGACCAACGCTTCCGACGGAGGCCCGCCCACCAAGTAAGCTTGCTACCGCTTCACATCCGCGTTCGTCTAGGCGAATAACCAGTAGCCCTGATCCTAATTCTGTCATATGTACAAACGTGCCCGAGTCCAACGACCCGCAACTTCAGAATCGACATTCTCATGATTCCACTATGTGGAGCTCAATCTGTACCGCGTTAAACCTCCCTGAAACGAAACCCATTAGTCTCACAAGACTGACTCGCCACACTTCATCTCCGAACGCCGGTAAGCCAAGACTTCTGCGTGTTGACTTGCAGCCAGGCCCGGCTATGGAGGATGTCCTGTTGTCAGCACACCTACTCCGAAACAATGCGTCTCTCGGCATTTACCAAATTCGTATCTTCCCCGACATCCCTTGGACTAAGCGCGCTGCGCGCAGACAGCAACTGACGCCACCCACTCAACCATGCTCCATCATTGTGCATGGCGTCCCAGAACTGCATGCTGTTGACGCAACCTTACAACAACGACAACAGCATGACTGTAATCAATGGCGGTTCCTTCAGCAGACACTAAATATTGTCAATGTAATCACAACGGACGTTCACCGCCTACCTCGTCCAGCAACTTATACAGGAACAGCCCCCCGTCTTCTGAAAGTGACATTCCTCAGCGCTAGCATGGCAACCGATGCACTCACCATCTGGTATGCTAATAAAAGACGAGCACCACCAGATATCCGTCTGCGTCCAGATGGGCACCCGGTGCCGAGGCGCACAGCTTCCCACAGACCCCTGGAAGCAGCAGCAGCAAACTCGGTACCGACACACTCTGACCAGTTCGTCCTCAGTCGGTCCACCACCCAACCACCTGCCTCACTGCCTGAAGAACTTTACTCACCTACACACTCCAACCTTCATACTTTCAACGACCCATCCGCCAGCACCCATCTGGGCTCCGACGACCCACACCTTGTTTCCCCAACTACAAACCTTAGCGGCTCCACCCCTCTAAACCAAAAAAACGGTGCACTGCCGGTCATCTGCTGACCGGCAGCACCCTAGTTACTCCCGCGCTCATCACCCAAACGGGCCTCACCTGTATCTACACGAACGCACAGGGCCTCATGTCCAAACTTCCGGAGCTCCAATTCCGACTTCTATCAACACCAGCGGACCTAATAGCCATAACGGAAACGTGGCTCTCCGGCGACATAACCGACGGTGAAATCCAGCTTCCTCACATGTCAGTTCTCCGCTCTGACCGCGCAACCCCAGGTGGCGGTGTCGCACTGTACTATGACATCTCCCTCAGCTGCAGCATGTTAACAAACACCTCCCTCCAGTCTCCAGACACCATGTGGTGCGAGGTCGTACTAACCACCAAACACTCCAGCTGTCTTGGTATCATTTACCGCCCCCCCAAACAACTCTCCCGAGAAGGATGCACGACTACTGCACGACGTCCACCTTATGTTATCCCACAAGCGCACACACTTTCTTATTATGGGTGATTTCAATCTGCCCCGTCTATTTCACTCTGTCCCGTCTACTAACTCCTTTGCATCAGGCCTCATTGATCTTCTTCACACGGCCCCGTTGTACAACCACACGTATCAGCCGACTAGATTCCGATCCAACAACCAACCGTCCCTGCTAGATCTCGTCCTCACTAACGAAGAACTGATGGTTGAGCACGTTGAGTATGATGCCCCTTTGGGGCTTAGCGACCACTGCGTCCTCCGTTTCGATTTTATATGCTTCGCCGAAAAACTCGTCAGCACGCCAACTTATACCAAACGCTGGACTGATTACGGAAAGTTGAACCTTCTCATTTCCGCTAACAACTGGTCACCCAAGCCCCAATCGAGCGCCGACAGCGTGTGGTCAAGCTTTTGCCTTACTCTACGTGAACTCTGCTCCACTACGACGACGTGCAAAGAAGTTTCCATAGGAAAGAGACGCCCAGCACTCATCCGAAGTCGTACACGGAAATGGATTGCCTCCAGGAACACGGCATGGAGAAACTATCGCTCCCATCCAACGGCCACTCAGTGGGAATATTACCGATCCATCCGTAACCAATGCGTCCATCTTGTACGAGAAGATAAGAGTGAGCACCAGCGTCAACTTATGCGTAAATTTTCATCCAATCCCAAAGCCTTGTATAGACACGTCAATAGTCTTCGACAAGTCAAACACGGTGTCACCGCATTGACGACCCCCACAGGGCTCACGAAATCAGCTACCGAGGCAGCGGACGTTCTGTGCAAGCAGTACGCATCCACATTCTCCGTTCCATCACTGCACACAACGACGGTACCTTCTTCGGTTTCACTCTCAACTTCCCTGACGACTGTTCATTTCACTCCGGAGAAGGTCCTGGCGAAACTCAAGTCCCTGCGGCTAACGGCCTCTCCTGGCGCTGATGGTTTCCACCCACGGCTCTTGCGAGCGTGCGCTGCAGCTCTAGCTTTACCCCTAGCGGAGCTGTTCACCCACTTCTTCTTGCAAAGCAAAGTTCCCAATGATTGGAAATGTGGGACTATTACACCAATCTACAAAGGCGGTACTCGTAAAGATCCGGCCAATTACCGACCGATAACTCTCCTATCTACGATCTCCAAAGTGATGGAATCGATCGTCGCAGACGCTTTAACGGATCACATGGAGACCCAGAAACTGCTCTCTGATTGCCAGCACGGTTTCCGGCTTCAGCGGTCTTGCCTGAGTAACCTGCTACTTGCTAGGGACAGCTGGACGACTGCAGCCGACTCTGGCCAAGAAACGCATGTTATCTTTCTGGATTTCGCCAAAGCCTTCGACAAGGTCGACCACAAGATTCTGCTGCGGAAACTGTCATCTTACGGCGTTTCAGGGGACTTGATGGACTGGATCCGGAACTACCTCCAAAACCGTACCTTCCAAGTACGCGTCGACGGAGCGTTGTCTCCCCGCATCCTTGCCACAAGTGGAGTTCCACAGGGGTCTGTTCTCGGACCGCACCTCTTCCTAGCCTTCATTGACGACGTCACACCGCAAGTGGAGTCCTCGCTGCTACTATACGCGGATGACGCCAAGCTGTGGCGCACAATTAACCTTCCGGACGATGCCCACGCACTTCAGATGGACCTCGACCGTCTAAATCAGTGGTCCATAGAAAATAACCTTCCATTTAACGCTTCGAAATGTCGCGTCCTTTCTACCCGCCCTTCCGCTTTTTCTCCTGTATATTACCTGGGAGCGTCTATCCTCCAGATCTCTTCAGCCGAAAGAGACTTGGGTATCATTACCCAGACGAGTCTTTCCGTATCCGCTTCCTGCCGGAAAGCAGCTGCTGCTGCTAACCGCATGGTGGGATTGCTGAAACGAGCCTTCGGTCAAATTGACCCCAGCAATTTCCGCCTCCTCCTTAACGCTTTTCTCCGACCCCACTTGGAGTTCGCTATTCAGGCTTGGAGCCCTTGGTTGTTGAAGGACCAACGCATACTTGAAGCCCCACAACGTCGAGCAACCAAACTGGTCCGAGGTCTCAAGCACCTAGATTATCCACAGCGACTTCAGTGCCTGGGCCTCTACTCGCTTAAGTACCGACGTCTACGGGGCGACCTGATCCTCGTATTCATGATCTTATCCAACCCTGGACATCCCTGTCGCCACCTACTCACACTGCACCAATCGGGCTCCCACCTACGTGGCCACCCACTGAGGCTCACACATCAGCACAGTCGGCTGAACTGCAGACGACACTACTTCTCTTTGCGAATCTGCCGACCGTGGAATGCTCTGCCGGCCGATTTAGTCTTGGCACCCACTGTGGCGGACTTCAAGGCCCGCTTGGACTGTCATCTGGTCGAGCTACACCGCGATATTCCCTAATTTAACTACATTCTACTGGATGGAATTTCTTTCTTTTTTTTTTCTTCCACCTTCCTTTCCAAAGCCGTTTCGGAGGGCGTGGTGGGATGTCTCGCTTTGAGCCGGCGTGCATTCTGTTTAAATGCCACATAAGCCCGATGAAGTTACGGCTAACACGCGAGTCCAACCCGCTATAAGGTTGCTTGGCCTTTCATTAAACCCGACCCGTACTCTTTTTACCCTATGGGTCATGTAAAGCTCCAGCTTTTATTCCCATTAAATACAATGTTCCAATGTTCCACTACTATTGCAATTTCTTTTGTACACGACGTTTGTTCCTTTTTCTATTTTTCAGTTATCATTTGAGCTTGATAATATTCTTCCCAGAGTGACGGTTGGCATGTGAGAAACCATGATGTTGTGTTTTCCAGACGATGTATCCCTCATTTTTCTGCGGCAAAACGATCAGTTTCCCTAGCCTTGGTGTAGGCTCGGTGTTTGTGTGAATTTGATATAAACATCTACGGATGAAGCTGCATGGGTAAGCGTTGCACTTGAAGAACTTAACTACGTGCTCCTCTACCTCCTCCTCGCTTCCTCGGTACTGCATGTTTCACCTCTGTGAAATAGAATCCGCACGCAGCTTACTTTTGATGATTACTGTTGAAGTTCAACATTTCGTCCGTATGTGTACCTTTCCTGTAAACGATTGTCTTAAACTTCACCTTCCACCATGAGAGCTAGTTTCCAATCTCCGACTCCACTGTAAGCTGCTTACCATCCGTCGCATTGTTGACTAGTTGGTGTGCCACTGTTATTTCATTTTTACACATGTATCAACAGATAAGCATTATACCTTTGCTATGCTCCACCGGTCGCATCTTGGTCTACTGTAAATTTTCAGACACTTTCCATACTGTAGGGTTGTCCAATTTTCGCGTTTATGTTCCACTTCATCCTTGGACTCCATCATGAAGCGCTATTTTGGTTACTATTTTGCAGTGAACCACCTGTTAGCTTGCTACCTGGTGCAAAGTTGGTTGATCTGGATTATATGCAAAATATCGTCTTGCTGCTTGACAATCGTGAAGCGCGTCGGTCCACTCGGAATCAACTTTCTGGAATGATCCCATTATTTGTCATACGCTGCACACTTTCAAAGCATTGTATTGTTTTACAGTTGCAAGACATTCACTGGTCTCTTGCCGACTAAGAACTGGGCATAGTTGCTCACTTTACCTATCTTGGCAGCTGCGTTAGCAGCGATGGGCGTGTGGCTACTTACAGTTCACTATTGCAAAATTTGTGACATGAAGCGATATCCCTTCGCTCTCGAAGGCTGTGTATGCAGACCAATTTATGAGGGTGAGGTTTGCTTTATTTGATATTGGGATCTGAGACACCTGCAGAGCAATACTGATATCAAATGGCCCAAGTGTATCCGCAACGGTAATATGCGCAGGCGAATACTAAACAAGGATAATAGGGCACGGTGACATTTTTGCTGCAAGGAGACGAACAATGGTGCTTACATACTATGATCATGCTGAATTCAAACCTGACATTTGTTTTTTCTCAGTAAGGTGCAGACATTTTGATAGTCGACTAAAGGATTTTGATAACGAACTTTCTCGCAGTTGCCCGACGTATCTTATATCTATCAACTGATGCAAAATTATATCCGCAGCGCACACTTTCGATTAGGCATTACATCAGCACAAAGCTGGGTACATTCCAGACATAGGGTACACATCTTGCGTCGACATATATTCTTAAGGCAGTCACCTTTGATGCCCCAGCAATATTCGGCCATCATGTGGTCCTCCCATTTTCCCTGATAACGTTCTTACATCGCCATCAAATATTGATGACGATGAATTGATCAAGATGACTGTTCAAGAAATGCAGTTTGACGTTCATATTGCACCCAAGATTGCGAAACGCCCAACACATTCCATTAATCTTTTCCACATAGCTATTCGATTTGTAGTTCCCAATTTATGTGTAACACCACGCACTCATCTTTTTGGCATTCATCCTTGAAACAAAGTCTTCATCATACACCAGAGCTCGGATTTGAAGGCCGTGAAAAGCACTAGACGGAAGACTGAAACCATGTATTAAAGCATTCGTCATCAGCACTCAAAGCCCTCACAAACTACTTCACAAAGCCAAGCTTCAAATACAGTGCAGTAAATATGATCTCTCTGCTGACAGTTGGATCATGCACAATATTTGACACGTCAGCATCTAAAGTTTCACTTCTTGGCCACTCCTTGTTTTTCCCCTTAGCTCGATTGTTTCATAGACACGAATAGCATGGGAGCTTTATGTGGTCTGTCTGCTGACGAATATAAAAGCTGCCTATATTCAGATCCAAAAATGACCCAGTTGCGTTCATGATACTTTATGAAGACAATAACTAGTTTTATGTCATTGTGCGATTCTCCAAACTACACTAGGTGACTCACTAAAACTGCTCCGTATACATTACCACTATGCTAAAGAGCACATTTGTCTACGCTTTGAACTGTCCAAGACTAATTTCCGCTTTGGTGGATCATATGAAGCAATGCCCAATTGCAATAAAAGACCTGGAATATCATGGCAAAATACAAGCTGCTGGTTTTCTGATAAAAGAACATGAAATTTCCTTCCTTCGGTAGGAGGAAACTCACCTTGTAGTTAAGCAGTTTTTCACGTAACATGGAAACTAATAACTCAGTCAGTCTTGATAAACCTCAGTTCACTCACTAGGTCATTCATTTCGTTTTGGTTGAATTGCTGGAGACCCGATGACAGTTCACCATCTGCCGCACAGCCTATATAAGGTGCAGCTATTTCATGCGACTGAACATCACCTTCACGTTCACTGACTGTATTATCAGATGAAGTTTTTCAAAGTGTGGAATAGGTCAAATTGCAGAGGATATATTGGAATAACAGATGTTGTGCCGATTTTATTTGCTCAATACCTTTTGTATTAACTATGAAAAATAGCAGTCCTTTATGTAGTTCGTCGGTTTTCGCCAAAGCATGGGAACTTCAAATGACAGATCTTTGCGCTCGCCTTTTGTCCATTTACGAAGCATTTACTCGCAAGGATGGCACACACTGTGAAGTACCCATTTTTCTCTTGGTCACCAAGGCGTACGTCAACGTATGCTTTGTAGATGCTTTTCACAAGCGAAGGGATATTTCTCCTTTCACGAACCAGTTTATAACAGCCGCGTATACAACAAAGCGCATCGTTGTTCTCTGCGTGAGTGAGACATGGTCATAACTTTAACGAAAATGCATTCGTTCAGTATTCTATATTTATGTAGAGTAACAAAATGCATGTAGACTAGAGCATGCAGAAAAAATGAATTTCATATTTGAAATCAGCATCAAGAGTTCATTTAGTAAGTTGTAACATCCATTTTGACAAAAAATGATAAAATTGTGTTGTACAGCGTAATCAGACTAGCTCCTTAGTGCTTCACATTCCATCGAGCGATTTGCGTTGACATGAGTACTTGCCGCATATGCTGGGCCACCGTTTGTCGTTGAGCTTTGTACTATTTACCCAATGTAGGATGGCGTTAGTTTCGAGCAATCAGAGATTGACTTCGCAGCAGAAAACTAACTTGCAAACGCCAAATTGGGTACTGCCTGTTCACCTCGCGTGCCATGATGAATTCAACACAATCCACTTTGTATTTGGCTGGATACTTTCCAAGGCATGGCTCGCAACCGGCGCTAGTAATTCTTCCTCTCCTTGGACCGCATATTTGAAGCGTCCGGTACCATGTTATCCGCGAGGGTGGTGACTGTTTATGACGCGGGGCAATAAAACTTACAAAGCGTCTACGTCACCGATGCCGTCTTATTCACACACGACTGCTAGCCGCCTGTGTCCGTTGTTGTTGTTGTCGTCGTTTTTGAAGCACGGTAATGGGATACAGATATAGGTAGCACGAGATTCTAGTGTATTTCCTCTTACTACCTGTTTGTGATTTTTCTGAATGGTTTACTCATTGTAAGTCACCAGTCTGAGTCAGAATTGGTATGAGGACTAGCCAGTGAGTGGCTCACCGCTAGCAGCCAGGTTGCTCACGTTACGGAAGTCGTTGGCCGTTTTCCGTGACTAGTTGCAGTAGCTTGGTGACATGCTTATGGGGATTTATGCGGGCAACACCCAATTTCTATCTGCTTCGGCTACGACCCAATTGTTTGCATGGGTCAACGTTCACTTCAGTATGAATGGCCGTCTACATTCACATTGCTCGCCGCAGTTCATTCACATAACGAGTAATTCAAAAGGATCTCTAATCGGTCTGATTCTTGTTTTTCTTTTTCCACTTTATTACCCGCACCATCCCATAGCACTATCGCTGTCGAGAGCTGTTTCTTCTCCACCGCTGCACATATCAAAGAATCTATCGATCATTCCTATCGGCTGGCAACCGCAATTGCCGTAAATCGTTTTACCTGATTATCTTGCATACGGCGATCCCTTTCGACTTATTCCATACTCTTGCTCATATTGTTCGCGGTATGAACTATTCGGGCTTACGGTATGTGCTCCTTACAACTTTAGGGTCAGTTCTGGTTTTGAAAGCTCATTTTGGAGCAGTAGCAAGCACTCTGATCACGCACTCATTTCTGTTGATCTTACGGTTCGCTTCGGTGGGCGCAAGCGGCGACATTGAGCGCATAGATACATGCCAACTGGCAATGTCAGGTGTTCTGAATGGGTATCAAAGTGCGCTGGCATCCGGGTTGAGCAAACGTTCTGATCACAGTAGAGGGCCACTGGTCGGCATATCTGCCAGACGTTATTAGCAACAGGCATGTTTTCATGTGGCAAATCACTGAGTCCTCAAGGTAAATCTGCGTGCGAGCCTGAGGAGAGACCGCGAATCCTAGGGGTTTCATCGTGCATCGGAGATGTAAATGGCCGCTGCCCTTGGTAACCATTGGAACTTATCCCGTCATGCGCGAAACGGGCAGTGTGAGACCTGGTGTTAGCGAGATCCTATGTGACGAGAATGGACGGCCAATCTACAGTTTGTCGAAACGTTTAGATCGTTGAGCCGAACACTTTTACAAGTTGCTTTATCAACTACAGTTACCAACTTCTCCATCGGCCATTGACCGCCTTTCTCCCTGGGCTGACCGCCTTCACGCGCAGAAGTCGAACGTGAGATCAGACTGTTGAAAGTAAATAAGGCTGCAGCAGCGGATAGACTTCCTCCAGCTCTCTTCCAATTAGAAGGACTTGCTCTTGTCTATGTTTTGCACACTTTACTATGCTCTGGGAGCAGGAAATTGTCCCAGCAGACTGGAGCCACTCCGTTATAGTCCCGTTTTTCAATGTGGTAAAGAAAGGCATCCCTAGTACGCCGGTACGCAGTGCCGACGCTTCGCCGCCGCGCAACCACCACCACTCGCACGTGAGCTAAAGTGACTGTGAGGGTCGCTCTGCCCCTACGCAGGCTCGAACCTTTGCCGTCAGATTACAAAACAAGCTTCTTACCTTTAGGCTACGGTTCGGCATTGGGGGCTCACGTCTCGAAAGCGAAATTACGTTAGCTAGAAGTAGAAAACGCCTCAGCTACTGTGCCGTAATGCATAAAAGAAGAACGACGGAAAAATGGGCAATGGATGCATGCCAGTTTTGCTGTCAATAATGGATGGGCATCGTTCCGGAAAGCTACCAACCGGCTACTATGCAGCAAAAAATTTTAGTGTGCAAAATTATATTATACGGAAATCATAGAGGAATCAGTCTGATCTCAGTTGCCTCCAACATACTCGCCTCTGTCGTTCTTACTAGACTTGCATCCGTGAAATGCGGATTCAAGAAGAGTAAGCCGGGTTTCATCGTAGTCGCGGCTGTATTGATCACACCTTCATATTACGTCAATTGTTGCAGCACCGCCATATTTATTGGCTTGCCGGCATAGTCTTGTTACTTGACACCAAAGGTGCCTTTGGTTCGGTGGGTCGATGTGCTCTTTTGGACTGCTTTCTTAGGAAACGCGTGCCCTAATAATATATTAACATTACCTAGGCGCTTTATTCGCATAGTGCGAGCGGAGTGAGAGCTTACGGCAAACTGTCGCCAGCGGTGTGATACAAGAATGGTCGCTATCACCTTTCCTTTTAACTTCGCTATTGACAAAGTCATGGAGACTGCGTTCACTGAACACGATTTGCAAAGTGTGAAGCTGCTCCCAGCTGATCGACTTCTTGACCTGGAGTAGGCCGACTACATTTCCCTTATCTGTGACAGCTTTCAAACGTGTGGAGTAACGCTGAACAAGATAACTTTGGCTGTCAGTCGTTTCGGGTTGTACTTTGCACCATGATTGACACGGACCCACTGCTGCGCCTGACGCTTGGTGGGGATCATCCAGAATTGATTCGAAAATCCACTACCTACACAGTTGTATCAGCACCTGTGAAATCGGAGAGGATGTCACAAACCGTCTAGCAAAAGCTCGAGGCATATTTACTGACTATTGTTATTATTATTCAACACCTGACCAATATACAGTTGGCAGTACCACAACACATGGCTAACAACAACAACAACAAAAAGGGGGAAACAGGTAGACATTGGAAAGGTTTGGAAGATGTACACGGTTACTGTGTTGTGCGGGCAGAGATCTTCCCGGTCGGTACCTATGGCGCCGGCGCGACATCACCCTCTTCCTGAAGCGCAGAGTTTCCAGTGCGTCCGCAAGTTCGGTGCTACTGTACAATTGTGAAACCTAGCCCATTAGATCGGCAGATACAAAAAGCTAGTTACGTTCGACCACCGGTGCCTTCGCAGTTGAACTCATATCTGGTGGGAACACCGTGTGAGCAATGAGGGTATTTCACGTCTTGTTTATGGCGCCAAAGAGGAAGCGAACCGCTCAGCACCCTTATTACACCCACCGGCCCGTGGCCTTAAGGATCACAAGCCTGCCTTTTAGTCCAAGGGGCGGGTTCTAGCCTGCATAGGAGACCGGATGACGTTCGCAGTATGCCTAGCCCACACGCGACTGGTGGTGGTTGCGTAGCAACAACGCGTCAGTATTGCGTATCCGCGTACTGCTGATGTCTACTACTTCTGATACTACCAAAGGCTGAGCCACGTGTTACGCATTCCAACACACCAATTCCCGCGACGTGCATTGTTTGCGCGCTGCGGGTGTGGTTGGAGGGAGCGGAGAGGACGCCAAGCGGTGACTTGTCAGGATATTTGAGAGCCCTCACTTCGACATTGGCATCGGTTGGAACATTTCGGCTAGATACACTTGCTGACATGGCAAAGTGTCAACCTCATTGGCGGTTGTGTTGTGAGTTTCTTTGTCCCTCCCTCTATCACAGCCTCCCACTCCGATCTCATTTGCTGGCATAAGTATTGCATAATGTTATTTTTTGTGGCACAATACTGGCTGTTATCTTTCCGGAATGATGCCTATCCGTTACTGGTGGCTTAGCTGGCGTACCCCGCAGATTTTTTCTTTTATGTATTTTGACACAATAGCTTTGATGTTTTCCACCTCTAGCTGACTTGTATACTTATGGTGACGCATGACAGGGCTTAAACTTGACAGAGTAGCCTCTGAAACAGTCTTATTGAACTACCCAGTTGTCCCCTGTCTTGATAGAACTACCAGATGATAATTTTCTACGTTTACTCTTATAGATCCACTACCATTCTTGGAATCACGGCTTTTTCCTGATTCCATTTGGCCCGAGCATTTGTATCCAATATCACCGGTTCTTCCGTTTTAGCAATTGGGTGAGTCTCAATATTTATTCCTCTTGTATCGAGTCGATTGGCCTCAGTATTTTCTCAGGTGCTTAATACCTCACCCTAGTGTACTTCCTGTCTTTTACGATATGTGGCTCTTGCTGTCCCTTTTATGCTCATAAATCCATCCACTTCACTGTGCTTGCTTACTATGATGGCTGTTGCATTGTCCCTTGTCCGAGCACCATCAGTTCGATTTTTGTCCTGTTGGACAACTTTGATTCATTTACTGAATTTAGTGGACCCACCTGTCCCATCTATATGGTTGGCGGCATCCGGTTTCGGATTTGCCTGTCGCTATCGCCAGCCCCAAGACGCCTGCGCCTAGAGAGGGACCATGGGTGGCTTGCGCTGCACCACCCACAGCTCAAACCACACACCCCATATCCAGTGAAACTCGAAGGAATAAGACCAGGAGGCATGTGGATCGGAGCCAGGTTTCACCAACAGAGCGGGCCCACACTCCTTCACAGGCAAACACAAGCACGCTGTATTTGGGAAATCAGATGCACCCAAAGCTGCGGTTGGACCGTGGTCCGCTCCACACTGAGTGCATGGAACCACTCTTCGAGCCTAACACGGCCACAAGGACCGTACACCCCGTCCCCTGCAGCAACGACCAACTGTCTCCTGGAGCCACTATGAACGAGCTAGTGGGTAATAGACAGGTAGGCACCTTGTCAACATGCGCATCAAGCGCAGCCACACCGGGGTTATCAAGCAACAGCCAATCACTTTAAACGACAAAATGAAATAAAATACCTCCAATAATGCATACAGATACAGTGGCATAACTCTTCGCTAAATTACCATATGAAGTAAGTTGGTCAGGAGCGAATTCGCGATAAGTAAAAAAGAATGTACACTTTACTTAAAATTGCTACCAACGCAACAAAATTACCGAAGATAAGTGCAATTAGCACAAGCAACATGGCCAATTAATAGCAGATTATTCAGGTAGGCAGAACGAACCAATTAAAGTGGAATGAAATTTATCCAGCTTAAAAAGGCCTAGTTTAAGTGTAAGTTGCTTTAGCCCAACTGCGGTGAAGAAGCATCAAGAATTCAACATCAGCCTCAGCATATATATATATGTATATATATATATATATATATATATATATATATATGAACCAGTCTGTAGATAACCGTTGCGTTATCAAAAAACCATGCGGAACAAAATAAATAAGTACGGATTCATTAACGAAATAAGAAGCGAAACGTTAACATTTCGATTGCTCTTGTCAGTCGCAACGCAATACATGCAGAACAAAATACGCGTTAAATACGGTCCACAGTTAGTAACGTCGATAATCACACAGCATTGGTGTGAATAACATAGGCAGATCCATGGCAATGTAATTGATTACCTCATTTGTTTCTGAGGCAATCAATCAGATTGCCATGGATCTGATTACGTTATTCACACCAGTTTTGTGTATTTATCGATGTGATTAACTGTGGACCGTATTTAACACGTATTTTGTTCTGCCTGTATTGCGTCGCGAATGACACCAACAATCGAATCGTTAACGTATCACAATCTATGTCTTCTTATTTCCTTAATGAAGTAGTGGAACAGGATTCAGTGTTTCAAGTTTCTTAACAAAGGTGCACATGTCGGAAACAGAGCACATATTTTGTTTTCTTTTGACTTATTTCATACACCATTTTGTTCTTTTTGGTATTCCGAATGCTATAGCTCTAATCCCATGGTTCAAAACATTTCAATATGAAGCCCTTCCCTTGACTTCTGTTTCGCACCATATCGCCAAGTGTGTCGAGCCATTGGCTGTCCTCATCCATGGGCCCCCAATCGGGATGAGGTACAGGGCCGACGAAAACGAGACAGAGGGTCAGCGATTTTATGGTTTGCCGCCAAATGGTTAGCTGACCTCCATGCCTTCTCTTTAATTTCAATCCTGTACGAGCAAATAAGGCGTGGCGTGGTAGACGCTCACGTGACAAACGTAAAACGTGTCCAAGTCACCACAATTGACGCGTTCCGACAAGGCGATTAGGCGAAGGACTCATGTTTCCCAGGACGCGACACCGGACTTCATCGTTACGAAACCGATGCTTTCACCACACACGGGCTATCCGCCGCAAACTTGTTATCGAAAGTCGAAAGCCTACGCATGTCATTCACACGAATCGGCCAGGACTCACCTCCGTACAACTGGACTGCACCAACACAATCGTTGTAGACCCTCCCCTTTAATCTGAGAGATTTGTTCTGACGACGCCACAAATGACTCAGGTTGGTAAATGCCGACTGGACTTCAGCGATGCGAAGAGAAACCAAAAGTGCTATCATTGGAAATACAGGTTCCGTGGTGGACACTTGTCCGCAAATTCTAGCTGTGTTCCTTCAATGGTAAGTGAGGGGCCCAGACGACTTCCAGTCCTGGAGTTGGACTTTACACTTCGGCGGGGAAAAGCTCATCTCATACTTAGACCTTTCAATCGCTAGACGGTTCACAATGAGATGTGCACTGGTTCGTCACCGAGCAGACTCATCAGGAAGAAGCTCAACACTAAAATTTTGGGAGCCTTCTACAGTGATCTCAACAGGACGTCCTCAATCGCAAGGTTGAAGAAGGATAGAGACAAACCTCATACTTGTCGTACACCACTAGAGATCTGGAAGAGTGAGAAAAGCTTGCTATTGACCCTCACTCTATCTGACACCTTGCAGTAAAGCGCCTGAATGATGAAAGTGTACTTTTTGGGAACTCTATTTCTTAGCAAACAGTGCCACAAAGCATGCCGATCCACCGAGTCAAATGCAGGAAAACGACAATGGTTGGCCTGTTTTAGAGGTGGCGGTATTCAAGGATTTGGCATAGCATGAAGATCTGGTCCACCTATCTTCGACCAGAGCGGAAATCAGCTTGTTCTTCTCGGGAAAACATCACATGAATCTGGGATAATCTGCAAAGCAGAATGGATGCCAACAATTTGAAAGCAACCGGCATGAGACTGATGCTCCTGTGATTAATTTGCACGGAATGTGCGAGCACTTTCCTTGGAAATAAGGACAATTACTGACTCACCCCAGGAGGACGAAATCTTCTCTTCGTTGCATAACTTGAAAAACAGCGATGTCAACTATTTAACAAGTGCTGGGTCGCCAAACGTGCGCATCTTCGGAGGAAGTTTATCCAAGCCGGGAGACGAATCTCTTAGGATGTCGGATCTCGACGAAATGACCCAGGGCATGTAATTGCGTGTACTTAGGATACAAGCGGACAATAGATGGGGATTGAATTAGGAGTGAAAATGTTCGGCCCAATGCTTTACGCGCCTTCGCAAGTTAGTGTTTCGTGACCCATCCACTTTACATGTAGTATACATATATATATATATATATATATATATATATATATATATATATATATATATATAATACACTCTGTTGTACAGATATTGTGCCGTCTGAATCATGGCTGCATATGAAAACACTGTGTATAATAAGAAAATAACAACAACAGCAAAAGCTTTGTTTGTCCATGCACTGTTTTTGAATTTTACATTTTTATGCGGAGGAAGTAGGATCACCGCAACACACCGATGCACACGTCCGCCACTGACATCGATCTTGAGCCATGGCTTCCAAGGTCTTCAACCAGCAGTTATCCGCATCTCTCGGACCCCAACCAGGTAGTCGACAACAACTGGCCGAGGCCAACTGTTTCGTCAGCTTTTTCATGCGACTTCTTCATGTTGTTGGCTGTCCACCAGACCGTCTCTTCCAGCCCTGTCCAGCAACCACAAACAATTCACGACGCGGGTAACGCTGGACAGATATACGCAATACGTGTCTCAACCACCGCAATTGATGCCTTGAGACGAGCTCCTTGAGCGAGTGGCTTCCACGTCCCAAGACACGCTGTCTAACTTCCACATTACTTACGTGGTGCTTCCACCACACGGGCAATGGACCGCAGGCAGCGGTGCTCGAAGACGGATGGCCTGCGCAAATCATCTGTACGAATGGGCCAGGTCTCGCATCCGTACAACAGTACCGCACGAACAGTTTCACAATAAACCTGCCCTTTGATGGAGAGACGAATGTCGTGGCGACGTCACAAGTGCCTCAGCCTAGAAAAAGCGAGGCGTGCTCTCAAGATGCGCATCGAAATCTCGTCTCCAACAGCCCCGCCAGCAGTGATACAACTTCCCAAGTAGACAAAGCTCTCCACAACCTCTAGTGTCTCACCACCAAGAGTGAATGCAGGCAGAGGCACCTGCCAGTCTTGAAAGAGAGTCTTGCATTTATGTTTCAATCGCCAAGCGGTTTAATGCAAGTTGGACAACCTGTGGATCGTCACCCAGCAAGACGATATCATCAGCATAATCCAAATCAACAACTCGACTACCTGGGAGGAGCTCAACGCCAGCATTCAACGAATCGCCCAATGCGTTCTTCAAGACATCCTCAATGGCAAAGTTGAATACGAACGGAGAGATAGGGCATCCTTGTCGAACTCCACTGGAGACCACAAAGGTAGGCGAAAGCTTGCCATAAGCCCTAACCCTGCCCGAAGTCAGACTATAGAGAGCGCGCAGTATGGAGATGAACTGCTCGGGGACACCGTTCCTCAGTAAGCAGTGTCACAGCACCGTACGATCGACAGAATCGAAGGCTGCACGGATATCCAGGAACACAGCAATCGTTGACCTTTGCTACACATGGCGGAGCTCGAGGATCTGGCGAAGTGTGAAGATTTGATCGATGCAACCATAGCCAGGGCGAAACCCAGCTTGTTCTTCTCGTTGGGATATCCTGCGAACTATGGTGGACACCAGCAGCTTACAAACGACGGGGACTAACCTTATACCTGTAGTTGGAGCAGATTGTGCACAGGCCCATTTTGAACTTCGGGAGGTCTATCGATTCACCCCAAGATGATGGAACTTTCTCTTCCGACCAAATTTTCGAGAACAAAGTGGTGAGTTCTCGAACCAGCGAAGCGCCACCATCT